GGCATCCTATGACAGTGCCACGTTGAAAGTCACTGAGCTCTTCAGTAAGGCGATTCTACTGCCAATGTTTGTCTATGGAGATTGCATGGCTGTGTGCTCGATTTTATACACATGTCAGCAACAGGTGTGGCTGAAATAGCCGAATCCACTAATTTGAAGGGGGGTTCATATACTTTTGTATACAGTGCATTCGGAAACTATTCAGACCCCTTCATATTTTCCACATTTTGTTACGTTACAGCCTTATTCTAAAATGGATTAAATTACTTTTTTTCCTCATCAATACCCCATAATGACAAAGCGAAAACAGGTTTTTAGAACTTTTTGCAAAAGTATTAAAGCTATAAAAAACAGAAATACCTTATTTGCTATGAGACTCGAAATTGAGCTCAGGTGCATCCTGTTTCCATTGAACATCATTGAGATGTTTCTACAACTTGATTGGAGTCCACCTGTGGTCAATTCAATTGATTTTACATGATTTGGAAAGGCATACACCTGTCTATATAAGGTACCACAGTTGACAGTGCATGTCAGAGCAAAAACCAAGCCATGAGGTCGAAGGAATTGTCCGTAGAGCTCTGAGACAGGATTGTGTCGAAGCACAGATCTGGGGAAGGGTACCAAAACATTTCTGTAGCATTGAAGGTCCCCAAGAACACAGTGGCCTCCATCATTCTTAAATGGAAGAAGTTTGGAACCACAGAGACTCTTCTTAGAGCTGGCCGCCCGGCCAAACTGAGCAATCGGGGAGAAGGGCCTTGGTCAGGGAGGTGACCAAGAACCCGACGGTCACTCTGACAGAGCTCCAGAGTTCCTTTGTGGAGATGGGAGAACCTTCCAGGAGGACAACCATCTCTGCAGCACTCCACCAATCATGCCTTTATGATAGAGTGGCCAGATGGAAGCCACTCCTTAGTAAAAGGCACATGACATCCCGCTTGGAGTTTGCCAAAAGTCATCTAAAGACTCTCAGACCATGAGAAACAAGATTCTCTGGTCTGATGAAACCAAGATTGAACTCTTTGGCCTGAATGCCAAGCGTCACGCTTGGACGAAACCTGCACCATCCCCACGGTGAAGCATGGTGGTGGCAGCATCATGCTGTGGGGATGTTTTTCAGTGGCAGGGACTGGGAGACTAGTCAGGATCGAGGGAAAGTTGAACGGAGCAAAGTACAGAGAAAACCTGCTTCAGAACGCTCAGGACCTCAGACTGGGGCGAAGGTTCACCTTCCAACAGGACAATGACCCTAAGCACACAGCCAAGACAACACAGGAGTGGCTTCGGGACAAGTCTCGGAATGTCCTTAAGTGGCCCAGCCAGAGCCCGGACTTGAACCCGATCGAACATCTCAGGAGAGACCTGACAATAGCTGTGCAGCGACGCTCCCCATCCAACCTGACAGAGTTTGAGAGGATCTGCAGAGAAGAATGGGAGAAACTCCTTAAATATAGGTGTGCCAAGCTTGTAGTGTCATACCCAAGAAGACTCAAGGCTGTAATCGCTGCCAAAGGTGCTTCAACAAAGTACTGAGTAAAGGGTCTGAATACTTATGTAAATGTGATATTTCCGTGTTTTATTTTTAATACATTTGCTAAAATTTCTAAAATCCGGTTTTTGCTTTGTCATTATTGGGTATTGTGTGTAGATTGATGAGGGAAAAAAACAATTGAATCCATTTCAGAATAAGGCTGTAATGTTACAAAATGTTGAAAAAGTCAAAGGGTCTGAATACAAGTGACCAGAAAGTAGGGATACACAGGTATGGAGAAAGAGTTGTACATAGCTCTTACGTAGCTCTGTGTTTATACAGGCAGCCAAATTATGATATTTTGCCTAATTATTGGCAAAAGAGCTGATCTGATTGGTCAATAGACCAATTAATGGAGAAAAAATTGCTACCTGCATTAACACAGCCTTCGTGCCTACAGTTCTTACGGTAATGCTCTCCTCACCTTGGAACTATGGAACTAATTCTTGCCATGTTTTTATCTTCCCTGCTAATAAATGGGCAAAAGACCGAACAAAAGATTGTTTTGCACACATTTTGTTTTGCACAAGTTTATGAACATTTGCAATCCCACCTGTGCTAGAGTGGCGATCAGGAACTTTTGACTAGTTTAGCCAATAGGCCTACAATCCAAAACGTACAGCATCACCATCATTTCCCTTCAGTCAATGCTTTCTAAGAAAGTGAAACTTTCCACCAAGTGATAATCAGCACAGTGGTGAAATGAAACTTGTACAACTGAGCACAGGAGGTTGGTGGCGCCTTAATTGGGGAGACGGGCTTGTGGTAATGGCTGGAGCGGAATTACTGGAACAGTATCAAATACATCAAACAAATGGTTTCCATGTGGTTGATGCCATTCCTTTTGCGCCGTTCCGGCCATTATTATGAGCCGTCCTCCCCTTAGCAGCCTCCTGTTCAACTGAGTGACTACGCCTTTTCAGAGGCAGCACATCGAGAGGATCACTTTCACAATATGGTTATAAAAAACGTCCGACTTGCGACTACTGCCGGGTTCAAAACAACTGGGAACTGGGAAGTCGGAAATCTCAGACTTCCAACTTCAGTGCTTTCAAGACAACTGGGAACTCTGAAAAAAATTTGCTCAGAATGGGAATAATCGTTTTGAACGGTCATCCAACTCGGAATTCCAAGTCAGAAACTCTATAACTTTTTAGAGCTCTGACTTTCCAACCTGAAGATCACTGTTGTCATGATTTGACCTTGATTTTTTCAGAATTCCCAGTTGTCTTAAAAGCACCATATATGTCAACTTCATGAACTTCACACCAACTGCACCATGCAGCTATTGAGTACATTGTGGGAAGCACTATTTGCCACCCAATCATTACAGTGTTTTTGTTTGAACCACACAACGTGGCCAATCATTACAGTGTTTTTGTTTGACCCACACAACGTGGCCAAAGACTTGATTGAAACAGGAGCCAACTTTGCCATGATTCTAAAGCTACAGGGGACACAAATGAAATTGATGTGAGACCTCTCTCTAACCAATTAATTGTACACACCATTATGTTTTCAGTTTATGACTGTGTGATGTGGGGGTATAGAAAAGTTTATTTTGAGATTTATACAGAATTTTTTAAATAAACAATAGCAACTATGACACATTGCCATGTTGATCTGAGCCTTGCTGTTGGAACACCACTACAGTGTCCGACTTTCGGCTGTAGCAGATGCACCTCCCCCGACTTTGGTTGCGTTATCCCTCGAACACACCCATTCACTACGTGCTTTCTGACATGCATGTTTTCAAACCCGCCCTCTTTCAACACCCAACCTCTGAAACAAAGATGGTGAGTAAATGAAGATAGTTCACTCAGGCCATTTACCATTGAAATGTTTTTTGTCAGGTCCAGTCTACTTAACAGGTGGCTCTCCCATAGACACCAGTGCAATAGCAGCTGGCTCTTGTCCACATAGTTCAAATGATGTACATAAACCCTGGATTGCTGATGCTATGTATTGGCCATTGAGAGGCTTTGAAGCCACCGGTCGGCCATATTGGCACTCCCCAGTAGGAGCAGTTCTCCATAGGAATGAATGGAATTCTACAGTATTTCAATTAAATGTTTCAAGGACAAAATTCCATGTATTTAAGTATTTTTTCTTGTAGTGAGGACAGTAACATTAGTAATCTCTAAAAAATTATACTTTAAAGAAAATGTTTTTATATATTTTAAAATGTTTAATCGTAATGTTTATCTCACATAATATAATTTTAAAGTATGCATTAAGGTGTCTGTAATAGAATAAATATATCAAAAACTAGACATTTATAAATGTATTTCTATAGCGTCCAAAATATGTTTTACACTGGTGGGGGCGTGCCAAGAGGGAAGCACGGTGTCTTCAACACAGCACCCCCTACTGGTCATCTAGTGTATATATAAATCATTGCTGTTCATTGACTTTCATTGAACCAGAAGAAAAAACAGGGAGGGATGTCTCCATCTCTGTGTGGTCACATATTCAGTGGCAATGAAAAGCTGCATTCATAAACAAGTGGGAAGGTGGTATTTATCAGATATGACTGGAAAAAATCCACTTGAACGCCCCTCCAACCCTCAAAGTTTTCCTTACAAGCCTGAATGATTAATAACATTACATTTTAACTTACTCTACTGGTTCACTGAGCAGTTGGCCCTTCAGCTGCTCGATATTTTATACAAAATATCCACAGGAAAGTATTGTTCACCCTACTTTTTAGAGAGCCAGTGAGTATATGGTTCTCTCAGCTTGTGTGTTCAATCTATTGCATTTGCACGTGATGCACATTACCTAAACAATAGCCGAATGTTACCATGAAAATACACCCTGGAAATACAAATCTACAGATCATTATATAGACCAGTGTTCTGGAAGTCGGGTGAATAACACTTTCCTGTGGATATTTTGTCTCATATTTCCACGAAATTAGCAGACAACAGGTAGAGTAAGTTCAAATGAAATGTATTCAACATTCTGACTTGTAAAGGGACTGTTTGGGATGTATGAACATAAGTGTGTGGTGTTGTCTACATAATTTCAATGCATCATCACGTTTTGTGACTAATATCATCCCTGAGCTCAGATTTCTCCCACATGCTGAATGACGCCACCTACTAAGGAAATTACCTAGATAATAGCATTTTCATCAGTTAAATGAAACAAAACATTATTTATAAAAAGCAATCTATTAATATGTTTTTTTGAACACTATAATTCGTTTACAAGCATGATAGCTGTACTTTTAGTTTTTGGTTGACACAGCTTGTTGGCCATTGGCCAATTGGCATTCTCAACAAGTTCAAAGCACGTGAATGCATCCAACTAGTATTTACGACTTCAACTGGTAATTACCACCATCCCACTTGATTTGGAACACAGCATTACACTACTAGAAAGACAGTGTAGCTGCTATCTCCGCCCTAGCGACAAAGCAGATCACAGCAGCACTGAGCATTAATCTCATTCAATAATAACCATGGCAGCACAGGATTTTGCTGGCAACCGATTCATGCAAGGTGAGTGTCATGATCAACCCTTTAACCAAGACTAGCTACTGTTAGCAGTAGCATTAAGCAAATATGAAGTGTTGCAGCAAGCTGGCAACCAAAAACATCTGAAAGATGTTTATTTTGACAAATCATTTGTATAATTTATGGTTGTCCAGACAGTGCGCCTGTGTTAGTCTCTGCTACAATGTAGCCGACATTCACTGGAGGGGGAGGACCCATTATGTCAAGAACTAGCAGAGAGACCATAACTGGTACCATGGCTGGTGCCGGTGTGCCCGCACTCTGTTTTTCATAGAAATTATGTGTTGTAAGTATTTGGTATTATAATGAAAATATATAGGTATGTGTAAGGTTCTTATCATAAACCCAGGGGTTTACTCTTTTTTGGGGGGGGCGTGTTACGTGTGACGTGTTTTTCTTTCTCCCCATTTTCCTTTGTAGTGTGTTTGTGTGTTCTGGGCATTACAGGTGTGCTGAGTTGTGGCTGACGATGGTGGGCGTGGCTTCGGTCAGGAGAGTATACCTGTTTGCCGTGTGAGCTCGAAGAGGGGGGAGAGGACACTTGTTGTTTGGCTGTTTGGGTATTGGTTGTGTTAATTTATCTTTGTTTGTGTTCCAGCCTGTCCTCCTGATGTACTCCACCCTACCTGGGTCATGGAGAAGGGAGAGGTAGATCTGCCCATGGGTGTACATTCCCACGTAGATAACCCATTGTTTTACACACTAGGTTAGCCAGGCGGGTGTCACCCCTGTATTTTTTGGTATACAGGCAGGAAAGTGGGTTAGGGTTGGAGTGTGATAGGAAGGTTTAGGTGTGTAGAAGAGGAGGGACCTTTTGTTTATTTTCATTAATTCGACCCTGTTCCCCAAATATTCCCTTCTCTTACCTTCCCTGGTTTGTTTGATTGAGTTTTGTTTCATTACTGTTTCTTTATGGGTGTTGTATATTTTGTTTAAGTACCTTACTAAACGTCCCCCGAGGGCTAATCTTGAGATCTGGATGTTGTCTGGTTATTTTAGTTCATTACACCCCACATTTCTTCCCCATCCATCTAGTTTACCTTGTGTGCGTAGGCACAGGCATTTACGTCTCCTCCTCAGACGAACTACACCCGAGGGGAGAACGTAACAACTCGTCTACTACGAGTACTAGCTGGCAATTTGACGTCAGACAAATAAATGTTGTCCTAAGCTGACAACAAATACTAATATCTAGGTGGTTTTAGTAACCCTGGTGTATTTACGTATGCTAGCGTTGCTTTCAATTGTATTGGGTTGCACAAAAACAGTCCGTGGGAAGCCAGCAGTTAAATATATATTTTATTTTTAGTCATATGGCTAGTCGAAACTGGGGTGTATTCATTGTCTTGCAACTAGGGCCGGATTACCAAATGAGCACGCAGGGCACGTGCCCTGGGGCCCTGACCTCCAGTGGAATTTATTAGTTTTGGGGGTTGGAGGGCCCCCTCAGATAGCATATGAACACGTTGGTTGTGGGCCCCCTGGAGGTTGACCCCCCCACTCCCTCCCAATATGTCTCTCGCGCTTGATGGCTGGCTTCTGCACGTGAGACCAGATCTGCTCTCAGGTACAGATGGCATTAAAGCAAAAAGCTAATGTTATTAACTTACAAATGAATAATCATAAGTCATGGGAGCCTTGGACCTGATAAACCGGAAATCTACATTAAATAAGAGTCGAAGGACAGAGTGATACATGCGGAACGAGGGAGAGCTCGGTTAGTTGTTTTGGAAAATGTGTTGTTTTGAAAGTGTATTGAAAAGTTTCTTAGTAGCTAGCTACCTTTTTGAGTTTGGATCCCGCGACTCAGTTGGCATCAGTTGCTGGGACTGCTACTCTCTGTCCAGTGATCCTGCTGACCAAGGCCGGGTCTGAGGCGCTATTTCGCGAAGCAGCTAGCCTAACTGCTAGCTAGCTGCCTATCAAGCTAGCTGGGCTTTCTTGTGGGCTCGAATGCAGGATTGTTAGCCATTGTGGCTGGAACCGCGGATTTTCCCGGGCTTGTGGCTGTCTAGTTCCCTGCTGTTTGTTGTTGTTTTCAGTCTTCCCTGCGACCTGCCCTGTCTGGAACTGCTGGAGTAACAGCGTAACCTACGTTGCTAGCTACCATGAGAAAGACAAAAGCCGGCGGGAGTAACGTTGAGGACAGTGGTGTCTCTCTATCATAGGTGAAGAATATTTTAAACGAACCAAAAGAGTTCTACAAGCAGTTGTTACTACAACAACAAGAAAATAGCTTCAAGTGTTTTGTCCAAATACTGGTGGAGTCAACTAATAAAAGAATGGACGACCTGACCAGAGAGGTCCAGGACCTGAAGAACAGTTTGCAGTTCTCCCAGGGTCAGCTCGATGAGTTTAAACAGGAGAATGGCAAGATGACAGCAAACTAAGTAATTGAGAGAGGACATACAGTGGGGAAAAAAAGTATTTAGTCAGCCACCAATTGTGCATGTTCTCCAACTTAAAAAGATGAGAGAGGCCTGTAATTTTCATCATAGGTACACGTCAACTATGACAGACAAAATGAGAAAAAAAAATCCAGAAAATCACATTGTAGGATTTTTAATGAATTTATTTGCAAATTATGGTGGAAAATAAGTATTTGGTCAATAACAAAAGTTTCTCAATACTTTGTTATATACCCTTTGTTGGCAATGACACAGGTCAAACGTTTTCTGTAAGTCTTCACAAGGTTTTCACACACTGTTGCTGGTATTTTGGCCCATTCCTCCATGCAGATCTCCTCTAGAGAAGTGATGTTTTGGGGCTGTCGCTGGGCAACACGGACTCTCAACTCCCTCCAAAGATTTTCTATGGGGTTGAGATCTGGAGACTGGTTAGGCCACTCCAGGACCTTGAAATGCTTCTTACGAAGCCACTCCTTCGTTGCCCGGGCGGTGTGTTTGGGATCATTGTCATGCTGAAAGACCCAGCCACGTTTCATCTTCAATGCCCTTGCTGATGGAAGGAGGTTTTCACTCAAAATCTCACGATACATGGCCCCATTCATTCTTTCCTTTACACGTCCTGGTCCCTTTGCAGAAAAACAGCCCCAAAGCATGATGTTTCCACCCCCATGCTTCACAGTAGGTATGGTGTTCTTTGGATGCAACTCAGCAGTTGAGTTTTTACCAAAAAGTTCTATTTTGGTTTCATCTGACCATATGACATTCTCCCAATCCTCTTCTGGATCATCCAAATGCACTCTAGCAAACTTCAGACGGGCCTGGACATGTACTGGCTTAAGCAGGGCAGGGGGACACGTCTGGCACTGCAGGATTTGAGTCCCTGGCGGCGTAGTGTGTTACTGACGGTAGGCTTTGTTACTTTGGTCCCAGCTCTCTGCAGGTCATTCACTAGGTCCCCCCGTGTGGTTCTGGGATTTTTGCTCACCGTTCTTGTGATCATTTTGACCCCACGGGGTGAGATCTTGCGTGGAGCCCCAGATCGAGGGAGATTATCAGTGGTTTTGTATGTCTTGCATTTCCTAATAATTGCTCCCACAGTTGATTTCTTCAAACCAAGCTGCTTACCTATTGCAGATTCAGTCTTCCCAGCCTGGTGCAGGTCTACAATTTTGTTTCTGGTGTCCTTTGACAGCTCTTTGGTCTTGGCCATAGTGGAGTTTGGAGTGTGACTGTTTGAGGTTGTGGACAGGTGTCTTTTATACTGATAACAAGTTCAAACAGGTGCCATTAATACAGGTAATGAGTGGAGGACAGAGGAGCCTCATAAAGAATAAGTTACAGGTCTGTGAGAGCCAGAAATCTTGCTTGTTTGTAGGTGACCAAATACTTATTTTTCACCATAATTTGCAAATAAATTCATAAAAAATCCTACAATGTGATTTTCTGGAAAAAAAATTCTCAATTTGTCTGTCATAGTTGACGTGTACCTATGATGGAAATTACAGGCCTCTCTCATCTTTTTAAGTGGGAGAACTTGCACAATTGGTGGCTGACTAAATACTTTTTTTCCCCACTGTAAGTACTGTGTGTGAATCCATGATAACAATGACGGAGAATTTAGATTATCTCGAGGGACAATCAAGGCGGAACAACATGGTTGTGGACGGAATTGCAGAATCTCCACGAGACCTGGACATAGTCTGAGGACAAAGTGAGGAAAATGATCTCGGAGAAACTGAAAATGGACCCACAGGAAGATTGAGGTGAAGCGCGCCCACAGAACTGGAAAACCGACCACCAGCCTTGGTGACAGGCCCAGGCCGATAGTAATCAAGTTCCTGAGGTTCAAGGAGAAGGTAGCTGTTCTGGAAAGAGCCAAGAACTTGAGAGGAATGTCTATCTTCCTCAACAAGAACTATCCTGAAGCTGTGCGCCAGAAGAGGAAAGAACTTATCCCAACCATGAAAGCTGCCAGAGCGCGTGGGGACATTGCTTACATCCGCTATGACAGGCGCATTGTCCACCTTTCCTCCCAAAAGCTTGGAAAGGATGAGAGAGCCAAGCCTATGGTGCGTAGCTTCAATCCCGCAGCACACACACACACACACTAACTGATTAATGGACTGCTGAATGTATACATTTTGTTCTCTTGCTTTGTTTGCTCTTTTCCATATTATGCCTATCACTGATAAGCTACCCAGGAAAGGGCTAAAAATAGCCCATATTAATATATGTAGCCTTAGGAATAAGGTTCATGAAATCAATAACTTGCTAACATCAGATAACATTCATATTAGCCATTTCTGAGACTCACTTAGATAATTCATTTGATGATACAGCAGTAGTAATACAAGGGCAAAACATATATATAAGAGACATACATGCTTATGGGGGAGGTGTTGCTGTATCATTTGAAGTGTCAATAATTAATTTATACCAATTTCTAATGTTTTTATTGTTTAATTTGTCAAAATATGTTAATAGTCTGGCATGGGCTTAATGGGTACCTAATGTAACCTTTAAGCCCATGGGTGTTCCAAATAAGCCCACTTCAGATTTGTTGATAAATATATATATATATATATTTAAAAAATCTTAACAATACAAACTTGTTCTATTCAAATCTGTAATCTCTTAGCTCTCAATAGCTATTTTCATTTAGTCTCCACTCCTATCCAATGGCATGTAAATGGCATTTGAAATAGGCGTGGACTAGCCTTTTTGCAGTGTTGTCAACGCAGAAAAAGCTAAACTTACTACATGTCTTCTTTGGAATGTAGCCAAAAAACTATTTACGAACAAAATCAAAACTATAGTGGAAATTACTCTTCAATACTTCATCTTTCAATATGTGTTGTCATTTTGTATATCTCTATCCTATGGTGTGCTGTTGGCATTTGAAATTGGCCAACATTTCTGGTCCAGCCAACTGGTTGAAAGTGCAGATGTTTTTATGAAGATTTCTGAAGACCGACTGACTAAAATAAAAACAGTTTGCAGGTTTAATACTAATGTTCTAAGGATAGTAAATGAGTCAATTTGAGCATTTACATTTAAACAATAACTTTAATTGATTTAAAATGTTAATCACATTTAGGCTAGTAGTTTGAAAACATTGTAAAAATACATTTTAAAACCATTCAGTTCATTGTGGAGTAACATTAAAACATAGAGTTCATTGTGAGGAGACATCAGTCATAACATCTTGAAGCTCATGTATCATTAGCCTATAACTTAAGCAAAATAAACAAGAAACATTTCTGCAATTTCTACTTTCTCCTAGGCTAAATGTAGGCCTATGCTCTTTGATGTGATTTTATCGTTTTAGTTATCTTAGTAGTGTAACATAACAGGTTATAGGGTGGTCTAAGCTTTAGTTTGTTTGTTTGTTTGTTTCAATCTTTTGCCCACGTTGTGGTTATCTTCGCTTGCCAGTCTTACATTGAGGGGAAAAAAGTATTTGATCCCCTGCTGATTTTGTACGTTTGCCCACTGACAAAGAAATGATCAGTCTATAATTTTAATGGTAGGTTTATTTGAACAGTGAGAGACAGAATAACAACAAAAAAATCCAGAAAAACGCATGTCAAAAATCTTATAAATTGATTTGCATTTTAATGAGGGAAATAAGTATTTGACCCCCTCTCAATCAGAAAGATATCTGGCTCCCAGGTGTATTTTATACAGGTAACGAGCTGAGATTTGGAGCACACTCTTAAAGTGAGTGCTCCTAATCTCAGTTTGTTACCTGTATAAAAGACACCTGTCCACAGAAGCAATCAATCAATCAGATTCCAAACTCTCCACCATGACCAAGACCAAAGAGCTCTCCAAGGATGTCAGGGACAAGATTGTAGACCTACACAAGGCTGGAATGGGCTACAAGACCATCGCCAAGCAGCTTGGTGAGAAGGTGACAACAGTTGGTGCGATTATTCGCAAATGGAAGAAACACAAAAGAACTGTCAATCTCCCTTGGCCTGGGGCTCCATGCACGATCTCACATTGTGGAGTTGCAATGACCATGAGAACGGTGAGGAATCAGCCCAGAACTACACAGGAGGATCTTGTCAATGATCTCAAGGCAGCTGGGACCATAGTCACCAAGAAAACAATTGGTAAACACTACGCCGTGAAGGACTGAAATCCTGCAGTGCCCGCAAGGTCCCCCTGCTCAAGAAAGCACATATGCATGCCCGTCTGAAGTTTGCCAATGAACATCTGAATGATTCAGAGGAGAACTGGGTGAAAGTGTTGTGGTCAGATGAGACCAAAATGGAGCTCTTTGGCATCAACTCAACTCACCGTGTTTGGAGGAGGAGGAATGCTGCCTTTGACCCCAAGAACACCATCCCCACCGTCAAACATGGAGGTGAAAACATTATGCTTTGGGGGTTTTTTTTCTGCTAAGGGGACAGGACAACTTCACCACATCAAAGGGACGATGGACGGGGCCATGTACCATCAAATCTTGGGTGAGAACCTCCAGCCAGGGCATTGAAAATGGGTAGTGGATGGGTATTCCAGCATGACAATGACCCAAAACACACGGCCAAGGCAACAAAGGAGTGGCTCAAGAAGAAGCATATTAAGGTCCTGGAGTGGCCTAGCCAGTCTCCAGACCTTAATCCCATAGAAAATCTGTGGAGGGAGCTGAAGGTTCGAGTTGCCAAACGTCAGCCTCGAAACCTTAGTGACTTGGAGAAGATCTGCAAAGAGGAGTGGGACAAAATCCCTCCTGAGATGTGTGCAAACCTGGTGGCCAACTACAAGAAACGTCTGACCCCTGTTATTGCCAACAAGAGTTTTGCCACCAAGTACTAAGTCATGTTTAGCAGAGGGGTCAAATACTTATTTCCCTCATTAAAATGCAAATCAATTTATAACATTTTTGACATGCGTTTTTCTGGATTTCTTTGATGTTATTCTGTCTCTCACTGTTCAAATAAACCTACCATTAAAATTATAGACTGATCATTTCTTTGTCAGTGGGCAAACGTACAAAATCAGCAGGGGATCAAATACTTTTTTCCCTCACTGTACGCTAACAAGTCTTTGATGGCTTTCATCTTGTTTTTGTACAGATTTTCAATGATCTCATGATTGTGCAAATAGAATGGTCCAGGTCCCTCCAGCTCTGCTTTGCAGAGGATGAACTTGAGCACTACATACTCAATCTTGTCCCTGGATGGGAGGAAGAATGTGTTGTTTGGCCCTCTGTCTAGGAACTTCATCACATACCGTTCACCCTCTGGTGGTGCTGACTCGTTAAGTGATCGTGCGATGTAATATGCCGCTGGTTTCGTGAACATGACAGCATAGTACACGTCTCTCTCCACTGTAAAGGTTGTGGTACAGGTTTCTGTATTCTCATTAGCCTCTTTGCTCACTGCCTCATTGCCCACTGCCTCCGATGCATTTGCCTTCTCCAGAGGAGCCTTCTTGCTCTTGGTCTTGCCATCCTTTGGTTGTTTCTTTTTTTCACTTTCCCCTAGCCGCAACATGGCTTGTTCAGATGTTAGAGACTCCATATTTTAGTGTTGATTCTCTGTCTTTGGCTGGATTGCTCTTCTTGGTTGGCATGATGCGTTGCAGGAAGAAATCGTTGATGCCAATGCCTGATGAGGGTGAAGGGCTTGAAGTTGCAGAGTATGCAGACGTTGATGGCTGGGGTTCCGACTTCCTTATGGTCAGTTCTGAATGGTCCCGCATGAAGCGTTCAAACAATTTTCTGCCGGGTCTTTGGTCCTTGAAGGGGGTTTGAAGTTCCTTTGCTATCACAAACTCTTGAACGAGATCAAGAAGATCCGTCTGGGTAAAGCCCCAACCCAACTGGCAAAGCACCTGAAGAGATGGAGAATGACAAAGCATTAGTCCTGGACACACGTGTGAGCGCACACACACACATACACACACACACTAATGCACGCGCACAGGCACACACACATACCCCCAGGTCACACATTGAGAACCACTGGATTAGGCAAAATCACATTCTTCATATTAGGCTACACACTGTTTCATGTTATCTTTTTCTTAGACTATCAGTCACTACAGTATAACCCTACCTGAAGACACTCTGATTTTTTTTAACCTTTATTTAACTAGGCAAGTCAGTTAAGAACAAATTCTTATTTACAATGACGGCCTACACCGGCCAAACCCGGACAACACTGTTGTGCGCCGCCCTATGGGACTCCCAATCACGGCCGGTTGTGATACAGCCTGGAATCGAACCAGAGGGTCTGTAGTGACGCCTCAAGCACTGAGATGCAGTGCCTTAGACCGCTGCGCCACTCCTGCTCTACCGCTGGACTCAGGTAGATCACATGTCCCTGTTGTGCATCAATGCTCAGCTGCTCCTTCACTCTCTGCATCAACGACTTCCTGTCTACTCAACGTTTTTGCTAGAAATTCAAGATTTTGCATTGCTCCCTCCCTGTACAGACGGCATGCTTCTATCATGCGTGGGCATGAACAGTAGTTTCTTCGTGTTTTAGTCATCTCAAACTAAAACTCATCTGAAAAGTAGGCCTAAAGATTTTAAAAAAATGATTGTTAATGTTAGGATAGAATATAGGCCTATCCAGAATGAATTGACCTATGCAATATGACTGATATTTAAATATGGGTATTAATTATCTGAATTATGGAGCTGATTTATCAGGTGAGGTCAAAATTAGGGAGTAAAATGGTTCAAAGATCAAAAGGAAGAAAATCCCCATTGAAACACAGTCAAGTGGGCTTAAAGGGAACATCAGTGAATTTATGGTTAAAAGACAAATGAGTACTTACCAAAAACAGGAGTAGAAATATGCAAAAAAAAATATCTTCTGAGGGTGCCAAAATCGCACGTTTTTTTGCAACTTCTTCTGGGATCAGCAGGCACATGTCACACATGCTTTGATAACTCAATATTGACAAATCTGATTGGCTTACAATAATAAGTGCCATTTATGTAACAAGCAGCTTCATTGGAAGAAACATCACACAGTAAAAATTGATGATGTCGTTTTAAAAAATTTTTTACTCAGAAGTTGCAAGTGGGCTTATATGGTATGTGGGCTTAATAGGGATGTTTTTTTGTTGTTGTTGTTGTTGACGAAATACAATGCTATTTCTCTGTAAACAAATTGAACAGACTTTCAGCATGCTTTTAGAGAAGGGCACTCAACATGTACTGCACTGACACAAATGACTGATAATTGTTTGAAAGAAATTGATAATAAGAAGATTGTGGGAGCTGTACTGTTAGTTTTCAGTGCAGCCTTTGATATTATTGACCATAGCCTGTTGTTAAGAACTTATAATGTATGTGTTATGGCTTTTCAACCTCTGCCATATTGTGGATTAAGAGCTACTTATCTGATAGAACTCAAAGGGTTTTCTTTAATGGAGGCTTCTCTAATGTCAAACATGTAACAAGTTTGGTGTACCGCAGGGCAGCTCTCTAGGCGCTCTACTTTTTTCTATTTTTACCAATGACCTGGCATTAAACAAAGCATGTGTGTCCATGTATGCTGATGATTCAACCATATACACATCAGCAACCACAGCTAATGAACTCACTGAAACCCTTAACAGAGAGTTTCAGTCTGTTTTGGAATGGGTGGCCAGTAATAAACTGGTCCTGAACATCTCTAAAACTAAGAGCATTGTATTTGGTACAAGTCATTCCCTAAATTCTAGACCTCAGCTGAATCTGGTAATGAATGGTGTGGCTGTTGAACAAGTTGAGGAGACTCAATTACTTGGTGTTACCTTAGATTGTAAACTGTCATGGTCAAAACATATAGATTCAATGGTTGTAAAAATGGGGAGTGGTCTGTCCGTAATAAAGAGATGCACTGCTTTTTTGACACCACACTCCAAAAAGCAAGTCCTGCAAGCTCTAGTTTTGTCGTATCTTAGTTATTGTCCAGTCGTGTGGGAGAGTGCTGCAAGGAAAGACCTAGTTATGCTGCAGCTGGCCCAGAACAGCTGCAGCATAACTTGCTCTTCATTGTAATCAGAGAGCTAATATAAATACTATGCATGCCAGTCTCTCTTGGCTAAGAGTTGAGGAGATAAAGACTGCATCACTAATTATTTTTATAAGAAACATGAATGTGTTGAAAATCCCAATTTTTTTGCATAGTTCTGACTCACACACTTACCCCACTAGACATCCCACCAGGGGTCTTTTCACAGTCCTCAAATCCAGAACAAATTCATGAAAGCGGACAGCATTATATAGAGCCATTATTGCATGGAACTCCGTTCCATCTCATATTGCTCAAATGAACAGCAAACCTGGTTTGAAAAAACAACACCTCTCCCATATTTGACCTAGATAGTTTGTGTATGTATTGATATGTAGGCTACGTGTGCCTTTAAAAAAAATGATTTAGTTCTGTTCTTGAATGTAATGTATTATGTTTTGTGTGGACCCCACAAAGAGCAGCTGCTGCTTTCGCAACAGCTAATGGAGATCCTAATAAAATATAAAATACCAAATACACTAGCTAGAACCTTCTCCCTTCTCATCGTGGATCTGGTAGAATAAAAAAGCATGACTGTGACTTATTGTTTCCCCCCCCATGTTGTTCATCAGGTAACTACTATAGACAGGGTGACATATTTGTGGACTAAAAGAGCATAAATCCGGGTGTATCACAAAGCATGATTAAATGAATTAGCCAGCTACAGTAATTGAGAAAGATTAATAGTTTGTTAAAAAAAGTAATAAAATAAAAACAATTAACCATTTATCTACATTACCTTTGTAAGCTGGTAGCTTGCTAACTAGTTGGCTCCCATGCCAATTTCAAGTCTTTCAAAACTAATATCTCACTAACTCGGGAATATTAAGTTATTTCAAAATGAAAGTTAACTGGCTACCGCATCATGCTTTGTGACATTGTTAGCTAACTATCCCCAGTTACAGTGCATTCGGAAAGTATTCAGACCCCTTCACTTTTTCAAAATTTTGTAACATTACAGCCTTCATACAAAATGGATTAAATTGTTTTTATTCCTCATCAATCTACACACAATACCCCATAATGACAAAGCAAAAACAGTTTTTTTTGGTGCAAACTTCTTTAAAATAAAAAGCTCACATTTACATAAGTATTCAGACCCTTTACTGAGTACTTTGTTTAAGCAACTTTGGCAGCGATTACAGCCTCAAGTCTTCTTGGGTATGACGCTACAAGCTTGGCACATCTGTATTTGAGGAGTTTCTCCCATTCTTCTCTGCAGATCCTCTCAAGCTCTGTCAGGTCGGATGGGGAGCGTCGCTGGGGCATTTAAGGAAATTCAGAGACTTGTCCCGAAGCCACTCCTGTGTTGTCTTGGCTGTGTGCTTAGGGTCGTTGTCCTGTTGGAAGGTGAACCTTCGCCCCAGTCTGAGGTCCTGTGCACTCTGGAACAGGTTTTCAACAAGGATCTCGCTGTATTTTGTTCCGTTCATCTTTCCCTTGATCCTGACTAGTCTCCCAGTCCCTGCCACTGAAAAACATCCCCACAGCATGATGCTGCCACCACCATGCTTCACCGTAGGGATGGTGCCAGGTTTCCTCCAGAGGTGATGCTTGGCATTCAGGCCAAAGAGTTCAAATCTTGGTTTCATCAGACCAGATAATCTTGTTTCTCATGGTCTGAGAGTCCTTAAGGTGCCTTTTGGCAAACTACAAGTGGGCTGTCATGTGCCTTTTTCTGAGGAGTGGCTTCTGTCTGGCCACTGTACCATAAAGGCCTGATTGGTGGAGTGCTGCAGAGATGGGTGTCCTTCTGGAAGGTTCTCCAATCTCCACAGAGGAACTCTGGAGCTCTGTTAAGAGTGACCATCTGTTTCTTGGTCACCTCCCTGACCAAGGCCATTCTCCCCCGATTGCTCATTTTGGCTGGGCGGCCAGGTCTAGGAAGAGTCTTGGTGGTTCCAAACTTCTTCCATTTAAGAATGATGGAGGCCACTGTGTTCTTGGGGACCTTCAATGATGCAGAAATGTTTTGGTACCCATCCCCAGATCTGTGCCTCGACACAATCCAGTCTCGGAGCTCTGCGGACAATTCCTTCGACCTCATGGTTTGGTTTTTGCTCTGATGTGCACTGTCAACTGTGGGACCTTTATATAGACAGGTGCCTTTCCAAATCATGTCCAATCAATTGAATTTACCACAGGTGGACTCCAATCAAGTTGTAGAAACATCTCAAGGATGATCAATGGAAACAGGATGCACCTAATCTCAATTTCGAGTTGTCATAGGAAAGTCTGTAAATAAGGTATTTCTGTTTTTTCAAAAAACTTGTTTTAGGTTTCTCATTATGGGGTATTGTGTGTAGATTGATGAGGAAAACATTTTATTTAATCCATTTTAGAATAAGGATGTAACGTAACAAAATGTGGAAAAAGTTAAGGGTTCTGAATATTTTCCGAATACACTGTAGATGTGTTTTCACTTATTGCATCTGCATGTCTCTTGTGTTATCCCTCTTGTACTTGTTTGTTCATGAGCTGCCTGCTCGTTGTAGTTAATACAATATAATCTGTTCAAAACAATGGCAGCATGTGCAGCAATGGTCATTCAGTTCTTGACATGCAAAAGTGAAGTAGGTGTATTTATGTTGTTCAAATGCACAGATCGCTTTATAGTTCTTCTCTTGAGAAACTACCGGGATTTAGAAAACATGGCATCATATTTATTTCATGCTGCTTTGTTTACAACTCCAACCACCTCGCTGCCCGGTATTCAGCCAATCAGTGGCCGCCATTAGTATCAGTCACACTTGTGCCACCAGATAGGCCTATGTTTTATAGATTTTAAAACTGATCAGATCACAGTGTTGTCATTCCTACCAAATGTATATGTTGTCAAATGGATGAAGACAATACAGCATCCTCTGACAACCCCAATAGACCCAGTCCAGCTTTTACATTTTATTTATTTGACATTTTATTTTAAACACAATACAACCACATGTGGATACAGTACAATGCCATTTAAAATCATTGAGGATGAGAAGTTTTAAAACGTATTTCCATTGTGGTCCTCTTGAAAACAATATACACAAGATTATAACATGAAAACAAAATACAGTATCAGTCAAAAGTTTGGACACACCTACTCATTCAAGGGTTTCTCTTTATTTTTACTATTTTTTACATTGTAGAATAATAGTGAAGACATCAAAAACTATGAAATAACACATATGGAATCATGTAGTAACCAAACATGTGTTAAACAAATCAAAATATATTTTATATTTGAGATTCTTCAAATAGCCACCCTTTGCCTTGATGACAGCTTTGCACACTCTTGACATTCTCTTAACCAGCTTCATGAGGTAGTCACCTGGAATGCATTTCAATTAACAGGTGTGCCTTCTTAAAAGTTAATTTGTGGAATTTCTTTCCTTCATTTGAGCCAATCAGTTGTGTTGTGACAAGGTAGGAGGGGCATACAGAAAATAGCCCTATTTTGGTAAAGGACCAAGTCCATATTATGGCAAGTACAGCTCAAATAAGCAAAGAGAAATGACATTCCATCATTACTTTAAGACATGAAGGTCAGTCAGTACGGAACATTTCAAGAACTTTGAACGTTTCTTCAAGTGCAGTCGCAAAAACCATCAAGCGCTATGATGAAACTGGCTCTCATGAGGACCGCCACAGGAATGGAAGAACCAGAGTTACCTCTGCTGCAGAGGATAAGTTCATTAGAGTTACCAGCCTCAGAAATTGCAGCCCAAATAAATGCTTCACAGAGTTCAAGTCACAAACACATCTCAACATCAACTGTTCAGAGGGGATTGTGTGAATCAGGCCTTCATGGTCGAATTTCTGCAAAGAAACCACTACTAAAGGACACCAATAATAAGAAGAGACCTGCTTGGGCCAAGAAACACGAGCAATGGACATTAGACCGGTGGAAATTTGTCCTTTGGTCTGGAGTCCAATTTGGAGATTTTTGGTTCCAACCGCCGTGTCTTTGTGAGACGCGTTGTGGGTGAACGGATGATCTCTGCATGTGTAGTTCCCACCGTAAAGCATGGAGGAGGAGGTGTTATGGTGTGGGGGTGCTTTGCTGGTGACACTGTCTATGATTTATTTAGATTTCAAGGCACACTTAACCAGCATGACTACCACAGCATTCTGCAGCGATACGCCATCCCATCTGGTTTGGGCTTAGTGGGACTATCATTTGTTTTTCAACAGGACAATGACCCAACACACCTCCCAGGCTGTTTAATGGTTATTTTACCAAGAAGGAGAGTGATGGAGTGCTTCATCAGATGACCTGGCCTCCATAATCCCCCCGACCTCAACCCAATTGAGATGGTTTGGGATGAGTCCGACGGCAGAGTGAAGGAAAAGCAGGCAACAAGTGCTCAGAATATGTGGGAACTCCTTCAAGACTGTTGGAAAAGCATTCCAGGTGAAGCTAGTTGAGAGAATGCCAAGAGTGTGCAAAGCTGTCATCAAGGCAAAGGGTGGCTATTTGAAGAATCTCAAATATAAAATATATTTGATTTGTTGAACACTTCTTTTGGTTACTACATGATTCCACATGTGTTATTTCATAGTTTTGATGTCTTCACTATTATTCTGTAGAAAATAGTACAAAATAAAGAAAAACCCTTGAATGAATAGGTGTGTCCAAACTTTTGACTGATACTGTACATCTCATCAATAGGGAAGAAACAGTCAAATAAATAAAATGGATGAACAAATAACGTTCATTGACACAATTATACAATTATACTGTGCAGTTTAAAATAATTTTGCCCATAAACCATTTCTTAAAGTTTCTTTTAAAACTCCCTATCATAGAGATGGATTTTATATGGTTTGGTACACCATTCCTTCGCACCAGTGCTTTTTCCAGCCATGCTCCTATAGCGCAGCGGTCTGATATTGGCAACACTGGCTCTGGTGTGATGGTTATGAGAGTCTCTAATGAAATTAAAATAACCAGACAGGTAACTGGGGTATTCAGCAACACCTCATGAGTAGTGTTGCTGTAGCAGACCCTCTAATCCCCGATAGACCCTGTCCGCACCCCAAAAAAAACCAGGACAAAATCAACTCTGTCGGGCTTCGACCCCTGGTATCATATGAACACACATAAGACATAGAAAAATATGTAGATTTGCAGGAAAGGAGCTTTAAAAGAGCAAAAAAAAAATCTGCCCCATGCAAGATGTGTGGAATTGCGCGATATTAGCTTTAAACTGCACAATTTTCTCTCCGCCAACAATAGGGCTGTGAATAGTTTGGGGTTGCGAGATGGGGTTTTGTTACTACGCCGATTAATGACAATATTAATCCGGACCTTTGCCACCTAGGAAATTTGTGTGACCGGACCTTCTCAAATAGTGGACCTTCTCAAATAGTGGACCTTCTCAAATAGTGGACCTTCTCAAATAGTGGACCTTCTCAAATAGTACTTGACTACTCCTACTCTAATGTTATTGCTGGCAGTGTCTTTGACAGAAATGCCTGTCTTTACATGTTCCCTTGGTAATGCCAATAGGCCTACTAACAGTGTAGCATGGCACCTTTTTGTCTCTAGTTACAACCCAGTTTTCCCCAGTTACCCCCCAGAACCCAGTTTGGTTGACACATAGCCTAAGCCTAGTCATGGCACGTATACCAACGTTATGTAATTCAGGATAGACATGATCCCACTTAAGTGGAGTTCCACAGTGAGATGATGACGTCGAGTGGATGGTGATGCCAATTATTGAATTTGTGCCCCTGGGCTCACAGGCCGGCCTGTGTTTTTGAACTGGCATGAGCAGAGCGCCCCCACCTGCTGGAGCTCATGTTTGCCAGTGAGGAAACTTTGTACTGTACACGTTGCACACTAAGCATTTTATTTAGCCTAACTCAAGGTCTTATGCGTTAGCACTTCAGGGGCAAACTAGACTCGGAAATCCCAGATCTAGGGCAACATTGTTTACATTGTGGGAGACAACCCATCTGCCTAGGGAGACTTGGGGCAAACCCTTTGAAAACAAAAACTAACTCAGGAATAATGCTTTGTTTGTTTTACAAAGGAAACTTCTCCAGTGTTTACAACCTCTTCCAGTGTTGTTCTGTTCATCCTGAAGCTCTGAAATACACAGCTTTGACAGTAGCCATTGTGAGTTTATTATTTTAAGCCCTCATAGGATCATGAATTGTACACTTAACAAAAATACGCAACATGTAAAGTGTTGGTCCCATGTTTCATGAGCTGAAATAAAAGTTCCCTGAAATCTTCCATACGTACAAAAAGCTTATTTCTCTCATTTTGTGCACAAATTTGTTTACATCCCTGTTGTTGAGCATTTCTCCTTTGCCAAGATAATCCAACCACCTGACAGGTGTGGCATATCAAGAAGCTGATTAAATGGCATGATCATTATACAGGTGCACCTTGTGCTGGGGATAATAAAAGGCCACTCTAAAATGTGCAGTTTTGTCACACAACACAATGCTACAGATGTCTCAAGTTGCCAGAGAATTTAAATGTTAATTTCTCTACCATAAGCAACCTCCAACGTCATTTCAGAGAATTTGGCAGTACATCCAACCGGCCTCACAACTGCAGACCACGTGTAACCAGGCCAGCCCAGTACCTCCACATCCGGCTTCTTAACCTGCGGGATCATCTGAGACCAGCCACAGCTGATGAAACTGAGGGTTTGCACAACCGAAGTATTTCTGCACAAACTGTAGGAAACCGTCTCCGGGAAGCTAATCTGCATGCTAGTTGTCCTCACCAGGTTCTTGACCTAACTGCAGTTCAGCGTCATAACCGACTTCTTCAGTGGGCAAATGCTCACCTTCAGGGATGAATCCCGGTTTCAGCTGTTGGCAGACAAGGCGTATGGCGTTGTGTGGGCGAGCAGTTTGCTGATGTCAACGTTGTGAACAGAGTGCCCCATGGTTGATTTTATTTTATTAGGATCTCTTTTTAGTCTTCATTTGGACTAATCTTCCAAGAGTCCTTAAACATTAAAATACAATTTTATAATGTGATCACATTTTCACATGTAACACACTGCTACAAACAGACATAATACATTGACATATTGACCAGATAAATACTCTAACAGTCTGAAATTATAGATTGATTCCTTCATCTACCATAGTCCTGCACAACCTTCCAATGTATTATATTTAAATGGTTCTAAAGTATTGTTTGAATTTATATATCGAAAGGTTTCTGGTTTGCTCAGATCAATTATTCAATTTCTTTCTTGCTCTGAATCGAAATGTTATTTAGCCTATTTCTCTTTTCTGTCGTGATAACACATATATGGTGGACAATCTATTCCTAGTATAGACTAAATGTCTGTCTCTTACCAACTGAATACTGTTGTGAATGGAGTTTGGCCGTTTTAAATGGTGTACATTGTGAAAGAAAATAAGCATGTTTTTTTCAATTATCTTGTTGATTTGATGACCAACCAAGAGCATTGTGCATGACTACAACAGAATAATCATATCTCCACCTTAAAATAATCCTTGCTGCTATGTTCTGTGCAATCTTGCTGATGCATTTCCCCAGACCACAGAACAGTAGTTTACCTGACTCATTCACATTTACATTTTAGTCATTTAGCAGACGCTCTTATCCAGAGCGACTTACAGTTAGTGAGTGCATACATTTTCATACTGGCCCCCCGTGACTCCCAATTAATGCTTGGGTTGTTTGCTTAAGAATCTTTCCCGGTAAATATTTAGCTATCCTTCTGATCATGCATGCAGTTGTAAAAATGTTTTACATAGATGAGTTATTTGAGACGACCATGATAAGCAGTTGTCTAGCTGTGCCCCTAGTAATTTGGTTTCTGCCACTTCCTCAATTTGTACTCCCCCAATACTTAATTGCATGCTGTGTTGGCATTTTCCTAGTGGAACAGACCAACATAACCTTGGTTTTCTTGGTGTTCAAAACAAGTTTGTTCCGGAAAACCCAGATCTACTTGTAAAGCTTGATGTACCTGTTGAACTGATTGTCTTGTATAAATTGTAGTATCATCTGCAAATATAGTAGCTTGAGTTTCAGATAAGGCATAAGGAAGGTTGTTGGTATATATTAAGTAAAGAAGTGGCCCAAGGCAGCTGCCCTGTGGTATTCCACAGTTTTAAAGCATGAGGGGAAGACAATGACCCATTGATATAGGTGTACTGTTTCCTGTCAGTTAGAAATGACTGTACTCAATTCAATGCTGCCTCCTTAAACCCATAATGCAATAATTTTGACAATTATTTCATGATCCACTAAATCAAATGCTGCACTAAAATCTAAAAATAGTACACCCACAAATCTGCCATTATTAATAGCATTGAGCCACTGGTCAGTCAGGTCAATCAATGCAGTGGTAGTGGAATGATTTTTGCGATAAGCATGCTGATTGGCTGTGATCAGATCATTATTTTCCATATGCTCCCATATTTCTCTACTCACAATACCCTCCAAATCTTAATGAGTGACGGGAGTAGACTAATTGGTCTGTAATGAATACTCGGACAGAGTGGTAAGATCCAATCGCAGAATTGCGATGCTTTATTAGAGTACAGACAAGGGAATAGCTTAATCGTAGTCAGGCGGGCTTTGGTCAAAACCGGGACAGGCAGAGACAGGCAGAGGTACCAAGGGAGCGGGCGTAGTCATAGTCGAGGGCACAGGCACAGGGTCAGAGTATGGTAATCACTGGGATAAACAAGCAGAGGATTAAGCAATTCGGGGAGTCAAACAACAAGGCACAGGTCGGATACACGGGTAATCAAAAACAACAAACTCTCTCTCTCTCTCTCTCTCAGAACAAAACGCTTAGCAAGTCACAATGGAACAATACCTCGCACCGACTGAACTTCTGAGCACACCTTATATCCTACCCTAATTACAGACAGGTGTGCTCAGAACTCAGGTGAACCAGATCGAGTCTGATGACTCCCCCTCTCTGTAGATCGGGGAAGTGTCAGACTCTGTCTAGACCCAGCCAACCCCCGATCCCTTACAGTATCCCCCTCCCCAGGGCTGGCTCCTGACGGCCTTCTACCTCTACCGGGTGGTCTTCCTCTGGGTCGGGGTCCTGGATGATCTGGGTGTTCAGCGTGGAAAGTGGTCTTGAGAGCGGGATCCAGTATGTCCTTAGCAGGGACCCAGGACCGTTCCTCAGGTCCATATCCCTCCCAGTCCACAAGATATTCGATGCCCCCTCGTCTCCGTCTCGACTCCAGTATCTCGTGGACTGTATAGGTGGTGTCCTGTTCATCCTCCAAAGGTGGTGTAGTAGGTTGTTGAGCGATTGGGGGGTACATCAGGCTATAGTGGACAGGTTTCAACAGGGAGACGTGGAACGTAGGGTTTATCCTGTAGTGTCGGGGAAGTAACAGACGGTAGGTGACAGGGTTAATACGTCTCAGTATCTTAAAAGGCCCGATGTACCTGGGTTGAAGCTTCTTGCAGCTCCGTCGGAACCGCAGGTCCCGGGTAGACAGCCACACTCGTTGCCCGGGTTGATAAGTGGGAGTAGGTCTCCGGCGTCGGTCGGCGTAGGTCTTTTGCTGTTGTGAGGCCTGACTGAGATGTTGATGGGCCGTCTCCCAGACCTGCGCACTCCGACGGAACCACTCGTCCACCGCCGGTACCATCCCTGATGTGGCATCCCACGGGAACAGGGGTGGTTGATACCCTAGAACACCCTGGAAGGGCGTTAGGCATAGGGAGGTGTGAATGAGTGAGTTCTGAGCATACTCAACCCAAGGAAGGAATCGGCTCCACTCTTGCGGCTGCCGCGAACATTGTTGCCGTAGATATTTCCCAATTTCCTGGTTGAGCCGTTCTGTCTGCCCATTGGCCTGGGGATGATATCCGGAGGTTAGGCTAACCGAGATGCCCAAGCGTTCGCAGAAGGCCTTCCATACCCGGGATACAAACTGGGGTCCCCGGTCGGAAACAATATCCTCCGGGACACCAAACTGCCGGAACACCTGGTTAAACATAGTCTCAGCCATCTGAGTGGCGTTAGGCAAACGGGTCATGGGTACTAACCGACACATCTTGGAGAAGCGATCGATGACCACGAGAATTACAGTATGGCCCTCAGATTCTGGTAGATCTGTAACAAAGTCCATTGCAATGTGCGACCAGGGTCGTTGAGGAGTTGGCAATGGCATCAGCTTACCCTCTGGTAGTGCCCGAGGTACCTTGGACTGAGCACATACTGGACAGGATAAGACATAGTCTCTGACGTCATCTGTGAGGGAATCCCACCAGTATTTTCGGCTGATGAGTCGTGTAGTTCGGGTGATTCCGGGATGACCAGATCCCAGCGACGTGTGGCACCAATTCCATCAGTTGAGGTCGTAGCGGAGCTGGTACAAACACCTTAGACTCCGGTGTTTCTGGAGGGGCTGGTTCCGCTTGTAGGCTCTCCTGAATAGTGTCGTCGATAGCCCACCTCACAGGACCAGCACGGCAACTCATGGGGAGGATAGGTTCTGGTTCCATGGGTCTTTCCGCGCGCTCGAACCGTCGGGAAAGCGCGTCCGCCTTACAATTCTTGGACCCGGGAATATAAGAGACAGTGAATTGGAAACGGTTGAAGAATAAAGACCACCTTGCCTGTCGGGAGTTCAGTCGTTTAGCACTGTGAAGATACTCCAGATTGCGGTGGTCGGTGAGCACTTGGAACGGATGATCTGCTCCCTCCAGCCAATGTCTCCACTCCTCCAGTGCTAACTTCACCGCCAGTAATTCACGATTTCCCACGTCGTAGTTCTGCTCGGCCGGATTCAGCTTCTTAGAAAAAAAAGCACAGGGTCGTGATTTAGGCGGCTCACCTTGGCGCTGGGATAGAACGGCTCCAACTCCAACCTCCGAGGCGTCCACCTCCACGATAAACGGCAAGGTAGGATCCGGCTGGCATAAAATGGGAGCGGTGGTAAAGCGTTGTTTCAATGTCTCAAAAGCCCGCACTGCCCCCTCCGTCCATTTCAGACCACGACCCTTGTAGCTGGTCATCGCCGACAGGGGAGCTGCGGTTGTGCTGAAATTACGCACGAACCGTCTATAGTAATTGGCAAACCCTAAGAATCTCTGGAGCTCCTTCACCGTCTGGGGTTGAGGCCAGTCTCGTACAGCTTGCACCTTGGATTCATCCAGTTTTACCCCGTCGGGAGTGAGTATGGCCCCAAGGAAGGAAATCGTAGTGACATGGAATTCACTTTTTTCGGCCTTCACGAACAGAGAGTGTTGTCGGAGTCGGTCCAGAACCTGTCGTACATGGGACACATGTTCACTCAGAGAGTTAGAGTAGATTAGGATGTCATCAATGTACACTATGACAAAGCGATCAATCAAGTCCCTGAAAATGTCATTCATGAACGCCTGGAACACAGAGGGCGCGTTAGTAAGTCCATAGGGCATGACAATATTCATAATGTCCTCGATGGGTGATGAAGGCGGTCTTCCATTCATCCCCTTCTCTAATGCGCACCAGATTGTACGCACTCCTGAGGTCCAGTTTACTGTAGATGGAGGCCTGCCCCACCTGCTCGAGGGCTGCTGGAATCAAAGGAAGGGGGTAACGATTTTTAATGGTAATATCGTTCAAACCTCGATAGTCTATACAAGGACGCAGTCCGCCATCCTTTTTCTTAACAAAGAAAAAACTGGATGCGGCGGGAGACGTAGATGGGCGAATGGCCCCTTGCTGTAGTGCCTCATCAATATACTTGTTCATTGATTCTCGTTCCGGCTGTGACAAAGGGTAGATTCTTCCGCGAGGAGGTGTAGCCCCGGATAGCAGATCAATTGCACAATCCCAGGCCCGATGCGGTGGTAACACGGTAGCCCTCTCCTTGGAGAACACCTGCGCGTAATCCTGGTACTCTGTAGGAACAACAGTAGACACCGCACCCTGCGCATCCTCCACAGTAGACGTTTTGCAAGGTAAAATGAGGCACTCTGCCCTACATACCTCACTCCAAGCCGTGATATCGCCAGATTTCCAGGAGATGACCGGATCATGGGTAACGAGCCAGGGGTGGCCGAGGACTAGCGGCTCCCGTGGAGCGGAGATGACGAACAGAATGATGTTCTCATGGTGCAGGGAGCCCACTTGTAACTTTATTTCATCGGTACGGTGCGTAATGAACCCAGTGCCCATGGGCTCACCGTCTAGCGCGTTGACTCGCAGGGGAGGTTGAATTGGGATAAGTTGAACTCCCAATTCCTCAGCGAGACCCACATCCATAAAACTGGCAGCCGCCCCGGAATCAATAAGACCTTCCAATCGGCGCACTCTCTCTCCAACAGATAAGGTAACTGGCACATACATTTGTTTAGATGTGATGTTGAAAACATGAGTCTCACTCACCGGTTGGGCAGTTCCGAGGCGATATTCTGGGGTACGGTTTGGTCGTACCGGACATTGCCGAATGAAATGACCCGACTGACCACAATATAGGCATAGTCCGTCTTGCCGACGTTGTTGTCTCACCGAGCCCTGTAGGGGTGACCGTCCCAGTTGCCTAGGTTCCTCCTCAGATTCTCTCCTCCGCTCTGACGATTGCGTAGGACCAGTGATCGAGGGCTCCCGGACTGTGGATCCCTTGTGTTGCACTATCAGATTATCAATAGAGACGGCGATGTTGATAAACTCATGTAGCGCAGTGATATCTCCCCGACAAGCCAACTCAGTCTGTACTTCTTTGCGCAGCCCTCTTCGGAAAACGGTGAGCAAAGCAGTCTCACTCCATCCGCTACCGGCTGCTATAGTACGGAACTCTAAAGCGTAGTCGGCTACTGTGCAACGGCCCTGCTGAAGTTCGCATAGTTGGTCTCCCACGCTACGCCCAGATACTGGGTGGTCGAACACCTCTTGGAACAGTCTCTTAAACTGAACTTCCGCATTCAACTCGGGGACCTCAGCTGCCCAAAGCGCAGTAGCCCAATCCAGTGCTCTACCCGTTAGCAGAGAAATCATGAAATCCACCCTGCTACGGTCATCGGAAAACATAGTACGATTATACGACATATACAGGGACGTCTGGAGTAGAAACCCCTGACATTTGCCAGGTTCCCCGTCGTACCTTGTCAGTATAGAAATCGGAGGTGCATGACGAGGACTGACCGTACTCGGGGTGGTGCCTTCCGCCGCACCAGCGTTGAGTAGCTGCAGGAGTTCATCCATCCGTTTCTCCTGTATCTCCCATCGCCTCTGTAATTCCGCTGGATCCATGGTAAAGGCGAGGTATTCTGTAATGAATACTTGGACAGAGTGGTAAGATCCAATCGCAGAATTGCGATGCTTTATTAGAGTACAGACAAGGGAATAGCTTAATCGTAGTCGGGCGGGCTGTGGTCAAAACCGGGCCATGCAGAGACAGGCAGAGGTACCAAGGGAGCGGGCGTAGTCGTAGTCGAGGGCACAGGCACAGGGTCAGAGTATGGTAATCACTGGGATAAACAAGCAGAGGATTAAGCAATTCGGGGAGTCAAACAACAAGGCACAGGTCGGATACACGGGTAATCAAAAACAACAAACTCTCTCTCTCTCTCGGAACAAAACGCTTAGCAAGTCACAATGGAACAATACCTCGCACCGACTGAACTTCTGAGCACACCTTATATCCTACCCTAATTACAGACAGGTGTGCTCAGAACTCAGGTGAACCAGATCGAGTCTGATGACTCCCCCTCTCTGTAGATCGGGGAAGTGTCAGACTCTGTCTAGACCCAGCCAACCCCCGATCCCTTACATGGTCGACTATTGGCAGGAGTAATGGGTTCTTTGCTGTCTTTCGGGATTGGACACAGTTTAGCATGCTTCCATAGAAGGATTACTTTTATACTATCCCAGGTATTCCTTAAAGAGGTAGGGTTTCAAGTGTCTCCGGAAGGTGGTCAGTGACTCCGCTGTCCTGGCGTCGTGAGGGAGCTTGTTCCACCACTGGGGTGCCAGAGCAGCGAACAGTTTTGAATGGGCTGAGCGGGAACTGTGCTTCCGCAGAGGTAGGGGGACCAGCAGGCCAGAGGTGGAAGAACGCAATGTCCTCGTTTGGGTGTAGGGACTGATCAGAGCCTGAAGGTAAGGAGGTGCCGTTCCCCTCACAGCTCCGTAGGCAAGCACCATGGTCTTGTAGCAGATGCGAGCTTCAACTGGAAGCCAGTGGAGTGTGCAGAGGAGCGGGGTGACGTGAAAGAACTTGGGAAGGTTGAACACCAGACGGGCTGCAGCGTTCTGGGTGAGTTGTAGGGGTTTAATGGCACAGGCAGGGAGCCCAGCCAACAGCGAGTTGCAGTAATCCAGACGGGAGATGACAAGTGCCTGGATTAGGACATGTGCCGCTTCCTGTGTAAGGTAGGGATCGTTCTCTGCGAATGTTGTAGAGCATGAACCTACAGGATCGGGTCACCGCTTTGATGTTAGCGGAGAACGACAGGGTGTTGTCCAGGGTCACGCCAAGGTTCTTTGCACTCTGGGAGGAGGACACAACGGAGTTGTCAACCGTGATGGCGAGATCATGGAGCGGGCAGTCCTTCCCCAGGAGGAAGAGCAGCTCCGTCTTGCCGAGGTTCAGCTTGAGGTGGTGATCCGACATCCACACTGATATGTCTGCCAGACATGCAGAGATGCGATTCGCTACCTGGTTATCAGAAGGGGGAAAGGAGAATATTAATTGTGTGTCATCTGCGTAGCAATGATAGGAGAGACCATGTGAGGATATGACAGAGCCAAGTGACTTGGTGTATAGAGATAATAGGAGAGGGCCTAGAACTGAGCCCTGGGGGACACCAGTGGTGAGAGAACGTGGTGCGGAGACAGATTCTCGCCACGCCACCTGGTAGGAGTGACCTGTCAGGTAGGACGCAATCCAAGAGTGAGCCACGCCAGAGATGCTCAACTCGGAGAGGGTGGAGAGGAGGATCTGATGGTTCACAGTATCAAAGGCAGCAGATAGGTCTAGAAGGATGAGAGCAGAGGAGAGAGAGTTAGCTTTAGCAGTGCGGAGAGCCTCCGTTACACAGAGAAGAGCAGTCTCAGTTGAATGTCCAGTCTTGAAACCTGACTGGTTTGGATCAAGAAGGTCATTCTGAGAGAGATAGCAGGAGAGTTGGCTATAGACGGCACGCTCAAGAGTTTTGGAGAGAAACGAAAGAAGGGATACTGGTCTGTAGTTCTTGACATTGGAGGGATCGAGTGTAGGTTTTTTGAGGAGGGGTGCAACTCTCGCTTTCTTGAAGATGGAAGGGACATAGCCAGCGGACAAGGATGAGTTGATGAGCGAGGTGAGGTAAGGGAGAAGGTCTCCGGAAATGGTCTGGAGAAGAGAGGAGGGGATAGGGTCAAGCGGGCAGGTTGTTGGGCGGCCGGCCGTCACAAGTCGCAAGATTTCATCTGGAGAGAGAGGGGAGAAAGAAGTCAAAGCATAGGGTAGGGCAGTGTGAGCAGGACCAACGGTGTCATTTGACTTAATAAATGAGGATCGGATGTCATCAACCTTCTTTTCAAAATGGTTGACGAAGTCATCCACAGAGAGGGAGAAGGGAGGGGGAGGAGGAGGAGGATTCAGCAGGGAGGAGAAGGTGGCAAAGAGCTTCCTAGGGTTAGAGGCAGAGGCTTCACATTTTGAGTGGTAGAAAGTGGCTTTAGCAGCAGAAACGGAGGAAGAGAATGGAAAGATGACATGTCCGCAGGGAGTCTAGTTTTGCTCTATTTCCGCTCGGCTGCCCGAAGCCCTGTTCTGTGAGCTCGCAATGAATCGTCAAGCGACGGAGTAGGAGGGGAGGACCGAGCCGGCCAGGAGGATAGGGGATATAGAGAGTCAAAAGATTCAGAGAGGGAGGAGAGGAGGGTTGAGGAGGCAGAATCAGGAGATTGAAGGGAGAAGGATTTAGCAGAGGGAAGAGATGATAGGATGGAAGAGGAGAGAGTAGCGGGAGAGAGAGAGCGAAGGTTGCGACGGCACATTACCATCTGAGTAGGGGCAGAGTGAGTAGTGTTGGAGGAGAGCGAGAGAGAAAAGGATACGAAGTAGTGGTCAGAGACTTGGAGGGGAGTTGCAGTGAGATTAGTAGAAGAACAGCATCTAGTAAAGATGAGGTCAAGCGTATTGCCTTGTGAGTAGGGGGGGGCGGTGTGAGGGTGAGGTCAAAAGAGGAAAGGAGTGGAAAGAAGGAGGCAGAGAGAAATTAGTCAAAGGCAGACGTAGGGAGGTTAAAGTCACCCAGAACTGTGAGGGGTGAGCCATCCACAGGAAAGGAACTTATCAAGGCGTCAAGCTCAAAAACCTGGAGGGCGATAAATGACAAGGATTTTAAGCTTGAATTATCCATAAGATCATAACCTGTAGATTTACCATTGGGTAATGACTTCAATAGGTTTAACACCTCCTCCACTGACACCAATTTTAGACTAAAAGAGCAGGGTTTTTTGCTCATAATATGATAATCAATCCATTGAACAACAGCTTGTTTGGAAGAATGGGCGTTTTACATTATCGCTCAGTAAATTATTTATTTGTTAAAATAAAAGTCTGCAAAATGATTGGCAATATCAGCTGGTTTTGTTATTGTTCTCCTGTCAACCTCCACACTAGATGGGCATGATGATATAGATGTACCCACGGATGGTGGGGTTATTGTATGGGCAGGCATAAGCTACGGACAACAAAAACAATTGCATTTTATTGATGGCAACTTGAATGCACAGAGATACCATGACGAGATCCTGAGGCCCATTGTCGTGCCATTCATCCGCCGCCATCACCTCATGTTTCAGCATGATAATGCACGGCCCCATGTCGCAAGGATCTGTACACAATTCCTGGAAGCTGAAAAATGTCCCAGTGTTCTTCCAAGGCCTGCATACTCACCAGACATGTCACCCATTGAGCATGTTTGGGATGCTCTGGATTGAAGTGTACGACAGCATGTTCCAGTTCCTGCCAATATCCAGAAACTTCGCACAGCCATTGAAGAGTGGGATAACATTCCACAGGCCACAATCAACAGCCTGATCAACTCTTCCTGGGGTCCGGCAAAATTAAGGTAGTTATACAATTTTAAAAACCATTGCAATACATTCATAACAGATTTCACAACACACTAAGTGTGTGCCCTCAGGCCCCTACTCCACTACCACATGTCTACAACACAAAATCCATGTGTTCGTGTGTGTGTGTATAGTGCGTATGTGATCATGATCTCTGGATTCCAGGTTGTTTGTCTTTTCTCTTGACTCACTTATTATGTTCACCTTGTTGTATTTAAACTGTATATTTCTCCTCTTCCACAGATCACACACTACAAGCAGTATCCTCACAATGTCAGCAAGGTCTACTCCTACTTTGAATGCCGCCGCAAGAAGGGGGGCGCACAATTCAATGAGGTCATGTTCTTTTGGCCTTCAATACCTCCTGAAGAAGTATATTTCAGGTGGGTCCACTTTGCCTGTAGCCTTGCAAGGAAATACACATGGGAACTGATTGTTCCACTTGCTTCTTTAATCTCTATTCTTCGAGAATTCCATTCTTGAGGTCCTTCCTCGTCTCATTCTAGTCTGTTGTAGGCTAGTCAGTGTTTAGGGGTCCCCTCAGCCCACAGTGTGTGTGATGTGACTGTGTTATGTCACACGGTCATGTGTTCTATTTACCACCAACATTGTCCTTTTGAGTGACATGATGTGCATGCATGACCCACTAAGTCGACATAGTGAAGGATATGGAAAAACTTTCCAAAACAGAAGATTTCGTACACACAATGGAACATTTGCAAATTCAATCAAATTGCCACATCCATGCAACATGATAACCTAGAGAAAGTATGTTAAAAAATAAAGGAACAATTTCAATTAATCTCATTTGTGGGTCACCAGACATGGCAGTCAGAAAGTAGGGCTGTTGCGGTGACTGTATTCCACGTGTCCGTTGAGTCACGGTATTCTCCTCTTATGCACTCTGGACATGCATTGGGAGCACCCAACTCACAAACGACAGTCAGGTCGCTAATGGCTTGGTACTCAGCACTCTATTGTCCGTCTAACCACTCTGACATCAATGCAAATGCAATTGAAAATCACATCAAAAACGTATCATCAAAACAGTATCATGCTTTTTAAAACTCGCCTCACTGTGATCGATTAATTTGAAGAAAGAAGTTTAACAGGTTGAAACTGAGTGAGAAACATGGTTGTTGTGAATGTTGTTTCAAAGTCAAACACAAGGAAATGGACAGCGCTTTCTAAGGTGATGAGCCCAAATCTCCGGAATACCCCTGATCTAGCTTATACAGTGAGGGAAAAAAGTATTTGATCCCCTGCTGATTTTGTACGTTTGCCCACTGACAAAGAAATGATCAGTCTATAATTTTAATGGTAGGTTTATTTAAACAGTGAGAGACAGAATAACAACAAAAAAATCCAGAAAAACGCATGTCAAAAATGTTATAAATTGATTTGCATTTTAATGAGCGAAATAAGTATTTAACAAATACTTTTTTCCCCTCACTGTACTCCAAAAGTAAACAAATTCTAGTAATTGCCTTTGAGTGTGGACTGTATTATTATGCATACTGGATGGACTGTTTACCTTATGCTACGCTCAAAACTTTCTATCCATGAGTTGGGGAGAAAACATATAGGCCTAGGCGATGCTGTTGGTTCGTTGATTGTGCAGGGCGACTTACAAAGTTAGCCTACAATTATAGTGAATTTTGATTTTGAATAGGGCAGTTTTTCTCATAATTAATAGGCTGAAACATTTACCTTTTAGCTACAGAAAATCTCACCACAGTGCGTTTCCATCTCCTCTCTCTCCTTCATTCCTTTCTTGAGCGCACAGAGAGCGGGGCTGTCAACAGTTTAATGAAATATGTTTGTCGTGAAAACATGTTACTATCGATGTTCCCGAACAGATTTCACTTGGTTTCACTTAACCAATTAAGCACTGGGTAGCTGCAGGAACTGGGTTGGAGAGCCCATGGCATACAGAGTTTGGGCGGAATATCACTTGTCGCGTAGCGAGAGACTGCAAGCTCCTCAAATAGTGGTTGATGTGTGGTGTGAAATAAGTGTTCTTATAAACCCAGATATTTCTATATTCATTCCTGTGTGAAAACAGAGTTTTGATGGTTGCCACTAAAAAGAGGAGGATCCATTCGCTATTCGAGTGCATACAGATGCCATTTATTTTTTCCCCTGCCCCTGTTCCTGCCCCTGCCCATTTGATGATGGGCCATTCTAAGCCGAAACTAACTGTACATATTAGTAAAGATTAAATTGAGAATAGTCTGATGGGTGAAAATATGATCACTTGATGAGAGAACAGTGTCTGCAGCCTAAACCGAGCACAAGCTTTTTTTGCAACTTTTTCAAATCATCAATGGCCTATAGTCGCATCATACTGCCCATATATGCTTTGATTTCTAAGACAATCTCAGGTTTTGTATCAGCACAACTAAAATAAATCTAAATCTAGCGTTTAGGACCTGTTTCAAATGATCACTTTTACATTTTAGTCATTTAGCAGACACTCTTATCCAGAGCGACTTACAGTTAGTGAGTGCGTACATTATTTTTTTTCATACTGGCCCCCCGTGGGAATCAAACCCACAACCCTGGCGTTGCAAACACCATGCTCTACCAACTGAGCTACATCCCTGCTGGCCATTCCCTCCCCTACCCTGGACCAATTGTGCGCCGCCCCATGGGTCTCCCGGTTGCAGCCGACAACAGAGCCTGGATTCAAACCAGGATCTCTAGTGGCACAGCTAGCACTGCGATGCAGTGCCTTAGACCACTGCACCACTCAACTTACGCTCAACATTGCCACTTCATAGGCGCACTCGCTCCGGAATGGAAAAATATCATTTTTATTTTATTCTGCGAAGTTCAATTATATTCTTCTTCATATAAAATAATGGTACTGAACTTATAAGCATATCTTATCTGCTAAATGAACTAGCCTACAGCCCATGGCATGGCACATAGCCAGATAACATATACTGTAGGCCCCCTCATATTCCGTTTTTCTGAAATACACTGAACAAAAATATAAACACAACATGTAAAGTGTTGGTCCCATGTTTCATGAGCTGAAATAAAAGATCCCAGAAATGTTCCATATGCACAAAAAGCTTATTTCTCTCCAATGTTGTGCACAAATGTGTTTACATCCCTGTTAGTGAGCATTTCTTATTTGCCAAGATAATCCATCCACCTGACAGTTGTGGCATATCAAGAAGCTGATTAAACAGCATGATCATTACACAGGTGCACCTTGTGCTGAGGACAATAAAAGGCCACTCTGTCTCAAGTTTTGAGGGAGCGTGCAATTGGCATGCTGACTGCAGGAATGTCCACCAGAGCTGTTGCCAGATAATTTAATGTTAATTTCTCTACCACAGTTTTAGAGAATTTGGCAGTATGTCTGACTGGCCTCACAACTGGCCTCACGTGTATGGCGTCATGTGGGCAAGCGGTTTGCTGATGTCAACAGAGTACCCAATGGTGGCGGTGGGGTTATGGTATGGGCAGGCATAAACTATGTACTACTAACACAATTGCATTTTATCAATGGCAATTTGAATGCACAGAAATACTGTGGCGGGATCCTGAGGCCCATTGCTTTTAAGGTATCTGTGACCAACTGATGCATATGTATTACCAGTCAAGTGAAATCCATAGATAAGGGCCAAATGAATTGATTTCAATTGACTGATTTACTCATATGAACTGTAACTCAGTAAAATCTTTGAAATTGTTGCATGTTGTGTTTATATTTTTGTTCAGTATACAATTTCTTCATATCATCATTTTTCTTTAGACCTGCCTAAAATAATGGATTTATTGTGATGGTGTACAGTGCATTCGGAAAGTATTCAGACCCCTTCACTTGTTCCACATTTTGTTACGTTACAGCCTTATTCTAAAATTGATTTAAATTGTTTTATTTCCTCATCAATCTACACACAATACCCCATAATGACAAAAAAAAAACGGATTTCACATTTACATAAGTAATCAGACCCTTTACTCAGGACATTGTTAAAACACGTTTGGCAGCGATTACAGCCTTGAGTCTTCTTGGATATAGCGCTACAAGCTTGGCCCACCTGTATTTGGGGAGTTTCTCCCATTCTTCTCTGCAGATCCTCTCAAGCTCTGTCAGGTTGGATGGGGAGCATTGCTGCACAGCTATTTTCAGGTCTCTCCAGAGATGTTCGATCGGGTTCAAGTCCGGGCTCTGGCTGGGCCACTCAAGGACATTCAGAGACTTGTCCCGAAGCCACTCCTGCATTGTCTTTGCTGTGTGCTTAGGATTGTTGTCCTGTTGGACAGTGTCTGAGTCTGAGGTCCTGAGTGCTCTTGAGCAGGTTTTCATCAAGGATCGCGCTGTACTTTGCTCCGTTCATCTTTCCCTCGATTCTGACTATTCTCTCAGTCCCTGCCACTGAAAAACATCCCCACAGCATGATGCTGCCAACACCGTGCTTCACCGTAGGGATGGTTATTGGCTAGGTGATAAGCGGTGCCTGGTTTCTTCCAGACGTGACGCGTGGCATTCAGGCCAAAGAGTTCAATCTTGGTTTCATCAGACCAGAGAATCTTGTTTCTCATGGTCTGAGAGTCCTTCAGGTGCCTTTTGGCAAAATCCAAGCGGTCTGTCATGTCCCTTTTACTGATGAGTGGCTTCCGTCTGGCCACTCTACCATAAAGGTCTGATTGGTGAAGTGCTGCAGAGATGGTTGTCCTTCTGGAAGGTTCTCCCATCTCCACAGAGGAGCTCTGTCTGTGACCATCGGGTTCTTGGTCACCTCCCTGACCAAGGCTCTTCTGCCCCTATTGCTCAGTTGGTCTGGGCGGGCTCTAGGAAGAGTCTTGGTGGTTCCAAACTTCTTCCATTTAAGAATGATGGAGGCCACTGTGTTCTTAGGGACCTTCAATGCTGCAGAAATGTTTTGGTAGCCTTCCCCAGATCTGTGCCTCGACACAATCCTGTCTCTGAGCTCTACAGACAATTCCTTTGACCACATGGCTTGGTTTTTGCTCTGACATGCCCTGTCAACTTTGTGACCTAATATAGACAGGTGTGCCTATCCAAATCATGTCCAATCAATTGAATTTACCACAGGTGGACTCCAATCAAGTTGTAGAAACATCTCAAGGATGATCAATGGAAACAGGATGCACCTGAGCTCAATTTCAAGTCTCATAGCAAACATTTCTAAAAATTGCAATATTAAAGCTGATCTACGCCCCCCCCCCCCAAAAAAAAATTATAAAAATAATAATAAATAAAACATTTCTAAAAAACAGTTTTCGCTATGTCATCATGGGGTATTTTGTGTATATTTCTTGAGCGTGCCGTCTTTAGCCAACTCTCTTGCTATCTCTCTCAGAATGACCTTCTTGAGCCAAACCAGTCAGGTTTCAAGACTGGTCATTCAACTGAGACTGCTCTTCTCTGTGTCATGGAGGCTCTCCGCACTGCTAAAGCTAACTCTCTCTCCTCTGCTCTCATCCTTCTAGACCGAGGTTCTTCAATTCTGGTCCTGGAGGGCCGAAATACCTCTGTTTTTCATCCTCTCCTTCTAATCAGGGGCTAATTCAGACCTGGGACACCAGGTGAGTGCAATTAACTACCAGGTAGAAATAAAAAACAGAAGTGTTTCGGCCCTCCAGGACCGGAATTGAAGAACCCTGTTCTAGACCTATCTGCTTCCTTTGAAAATTTGAACCATCAGATCCTCCTCTCTACCCTCTCCGAGTTGGGCATCTCCGGTGCGGCTCACTCTTGGATTGCGTCCTACCTGACAGGTCGCTCCTACCAGGTGGCGTGGCGAGAATCTGTCTCCGCACCACGTGCTCTCACCACTGGTGTGTCCCCCAGGGCTCAGTTCTAGGCCCTCTCCTATTCTCGCTATACACCAAGTCACTTGGCTCTGTCATATCCTCACATGGCCTCTCCTATCATTGATACGCAGACGACACACAATTAATCTTCTCCTTTCCCCCTTCTGATAACCAGGTGGCGAATTGCATCTCTGCATGTCTGGCAGACATATCAGTGTGGATGATGGATCACCACCTCAAGCTGAACCTCGGCAAGACGGAGCTGCTCTTCCTCCCCGGGAAGGACTGCCCGTTCCATGATCTTGCCATCACGGTTGACAACTCTGTTGTGTCCTCCTCCCAGAGTGCAAAGAGCCTTGGCGTGACCCTGGACAACACCCTGTCGTTCTCCGCTAACATCAAGGCGGTGATCCCATCCTGTAGGTTCATGCTCTACAACATTCGCAGAGTACGACCCTGCCTTACACAGGAAGCGGCACAGGTCCTAATCCAGGCACTTGTCATCTCCCGTCTGGTTACAGCAACTCGCTGTTGGCTGGGCTCCCTGCCTGTGCCATTAAACCCCTACAACTCATCCAGAAAGCTGCAGCCCGTCTGGTGTTCAACCTTCCCAAGTTCTCTCACGTCACCCCGCTCCTCCGCACACTCCACTGGCTTCCAGTTGAAGCTCACATCTGCTACAAGACCATGGTGCTTGCCTACGGAGCTGTGAGGGGAACGGCACCTCCGTACCTTCAGGCTCTGATCAGTCCCTACACCCAAATGAGGGCATTGCGTTCATCCACCTCTGGCCTGCTGGCCCCCCTACCTCTGTGGAAGCACAGTTCCCGCTCAGCCCAGTCAAAACTGTTCGCTGCTCTGGCACCCCAATGGTGGAACAAGCTCCCTCACGAAGCCAGGACAGCGGAGTCACTCACCACCTTCCGGAGACACTTTGAAACCCCACCTCTTTAAGGAATACCTGGGATAGGATAAAGTAATCCTTCTACCCCCCCCTTACCCCACCCCCCCAAAAAAAAAAAAAAAAATATATATATATATATGATAAAGTGGTTGTCCCACTGGTTATCATAAGGTGAATGCATCAATTTGTAAGTCGCTCTGGATAAGAGCGTCTGCTAAATGACGAAAATGTAAATGTAAATGTAGATTGAGGAAACCAAATTTGTTCATCCATTTTAGAAGAAGGCTGTAACGTAACTGTGGAAAAAGTGAAGGGGTCTGAATACTTTCCAAATGCACTGTTTATTACATGGATTTAATATACTTTTTAAAAATGTAGCCTAGATGTTCCAAAGGCGCACATCAGCGGCTTGTATGTGTGGAGGCCTGGAGATGCTAAACGTGTTTGTTAATAACGTGTTTGGATTCTGACCGCTGAGGCACTCCTCCAGGATAGGATAGGATTTAACTCCTCTGTCCAATCAGAGAGGCTCCTCAAGCCCCGCCCGTCAGACATGCTCCACCACTGGATGTGTCTCCCTCTGTGGCACTTGATCGCCCACTGACACCAAATTCTGCCTGAATGAAAGGGAATTGCAGTCGGTGGGAAAACAAAGCCAGATCTATATTTTTGCACTGATAGCTCAAAAATGTTGCTTGTGTGCTTGACGAAATGTGGGCTCGTGAGTTTCTGTTCATTTGGATTCATGAATGTCTTTGTCCTATTGTCTCTCCTAATTAGGACGAGTCATCACTGAGGAGAAGATTCAGGAATCCATAGTATTTTACCAGATGCACTTTAGACAGACTGTGTTTGATGAGGAAGGCTGGAGAAAAGTGCTGGAGGTAAGTGGGCTGTCAGTCAGAGATTAGCCACACTTATTGCATCTTTTCAATTAAGACTATTTTACTGTTAGGTGCAGTCTCAACTGTTAGGCTGCTCACTGTAAAGGTGTCCGCATGCTTCCCAGCCAAAAAAGTTCTGAAGAGTTTGTGCATATATTATGATAACATTCTGTGATGTTTTGGATTTCGATTAGTGTTTTTTCGGCTGTTCGGGCTCAAAACCTTTTTCTAGAGGCGAGCCAATGTCTACGCCCCTTAGTCAGTGATTGGTCAACAGTAGGGATTCTTCAATAAAGTCTTTGTTGTCAATCAACGAGGGATGACCCATGGGGCGGCGCACAATTGGCCCAGCGTCGTCCAGGTTAGGGGAGGAAATGGCCGGCAGGGATGTAGCTCAGTTGATAGAGCATGGCGTTTGCAACGCCAGGGTTGTGGGTTCGTTTCCCACGGGGGGGCAGTATGAAAAAAAAAAAAACTCACTAACTGTAAGTCGCTCTGGATAAGAGCGTCTGCTAAATGACTAAAATGTAAATGTAATGTAAATGGATGACTCGTTTTCATGCAAATGTTTTCATTGAAATACTGCACCAAACATCTTTGTTACATTTAAAATTGCATGACTAAGATCTCGGCAAAAACATCAAAATTAATGACAGATTTCTTGAGTTATCTTAGATTAATTCTGACTATTTTGAGGAAGCGTATACTGGCTACGGCATCTCAAAATAGACAAACAGTACTATTGCCGCTTTTTTTCTCATTTTTCAAGCGTAGGTCTTTTAAGGGAGTATGCGAGCACACTTGTTCGGTTTGCCTAGCCGACATTGGCTACCCACCAGCCGAACTGAAGCATGCTGACGCCTTAAGATGTTCGTATGGAAACACACACACAGAGGTTGATAGGAGGTTTTGATGCTGTTCAATCAGAAGTATGATGGCCGTCTCCCAATCCTGCTCAAAGTGGTTCCTGAGGGGAAGATTGTTCCTAGAGGGAATGTTCTCTTCACAGTGGAAACCACAGACCCAGAATTCTTCTGGCTCACCAACTATATTGAGGTAATTTTCTTCATTTCCCCCTTTAGTGTTCCTTTCATTGTCATTTTGTTGTGCTTTCACAACATAAAAATGAATCAAGAAGTATTCAAGTAAAATCATGTACTGACTGTGTTTCCAAAACCCCTGTGTGAGCGTGCGCGCACACAGAATACATACAACCCAGTGACCCTGTGTTTTAGTGTCACCAGGTGGATTGTATCAGATAGTGGTCAGATAGCGCAGGGCTGTGACCCTGTAGGGCAGTAGTCTAGGGTTGTCCCTGCTCCCTGTATGTATGGTGAGTGATGACACAGTCATGGAATCAGAGAGACCATTGCAATTAGCCTAATCAGGTCAATGAGGATGATTCCACCCAGTCACTCTGGCCCTTTCTCTGGTCAGCAGGGGATAGCTTAACCTGCCGGCACTGAGCCCAACACCAGCCACAGCTTTTGATATCCAGCCCCAACCCATTTCTACTTCCTTGCTAGCACCAGTGGCACAGACACATCCCATTGTAAAGGTTTTAGAAGTCGTCTATGAACAAAATCAACTGAACAAAAATCAGTTTCCCTCTTTCTCTCTCACAGACCATACTGGTCCAGATGTGGTATCCCATCACTGTGGCAACCATCTCCCGGGAGTTTAAGAAGATCCTGGCCAAGCACCTGAAGGCCACAGTCTGGAAGGCCTGGACTTCAAACTGCATGACTTTGGCTACAGAGGGGTCTCCTCGCAGGAGGTAAGACACATGGCAGGCCCAACCAGAAGAGGACTGGCCACCCCTCTGGTTCCTCTCTAGGTTTATTCCTAGGTTCCTGCGTTCTTGGGAGTTTTTCCTAGCCACTGTGCCTCTGCTTTGCTCTGCTCAGCTTGTTTTAGGCTGGGAATCTGTAAAGCACTTTGTGACAACTGCTGTTTGTAAAAATGGCTTTATAAAATAAATTGTATTTCATTGATTGATAGAGGGCTACAGAAAGTCAAGCATAAGATATGCATATAATTGTTACTGTTAACATACTGTAATAGTTGCCTTAAGATTATATGTCAGTAATCCGCTAGAATACTGCTCTTATCTATGAAACATGCTCTGTTGCCTTGCACCATAGTTTTGAGGACAGGGTATGTCTAGGTGACATTTTTCATAATTAAACACTTTATTTCATGTTTCGTCAAGGGATTTAAGGACCTTTCTAACAGAATATGTTGAGCAGTCACGACACTTCTTTTCATAGTTTTCCCAGTTGGGTAGTTGTATGCATTGAATAACTTCTTGTTTCATTTCTGTCTCTTTTATTTGTCTAGTAACCATCTCATAGTTTTCTTGAGTGATTGATATGTTATTTCTTTAGCACAGGGTGGGTAAATTGATGATTAATTACAATGCAAGTCATAGGTCAAAAATGGTAGCGTTCATTGCTTTCCAACCTTGTATTGTTTCAAGTTTTATTAGTCGTTTGTACAGGATACACATGGTATATACTGTCCAACAAAATGCTTACTTGCAGGTTCCTTTTCGACATTGCAACAACAATAAGAAATTATAAATTATAAGAATACATAAAGCAAGAATACTGCAAGGAAGACAGAAGACCCTTTGATATCCTATGGGAGCAGTAAAATCAGAAAGCCATTATTTGGTGAAAGGCAGACTCAATAAATTAATTTAATCAAAAAGAGATCAGCCATGACCTTCTGCTATGCAAGTTATTGAGCAACATCCATCTATGCGATGGTTTTGAAATATTCTCCCTGTTATGCTAGCTGGAAAAGTATTCCCATTTACTGGGCCATTGGTTCTTATTCCTTCCGCTGCCTCCACCTAGCCTGACTTCCATTACATTACATTAGGCTACATTGCATTCCTGTAGCCTATATTTGAGTCATTTAGCAAACGCTGTCTTGTCAAAAGCGACTTACATTAAGTGCATTTCCATAAAGAGCCGGCTAAACCTGCCACAGTAATGATCAATAATAATCACAGTGGGGGAATAAGAGTAAGCACTAGCCTAGAATCACAGTGTTAGAAGGATCCAGACCGGTTTTTGGTATTTTGGCTGGGCTGTGCAAAGGTTGAGGCTGCAACCTCTGATCAGTGTCACGCTAAGGAGGGTTCAGGTGTGGAGCCTCTGTCTGTCTCCCTCCTCTAGCCTAGTGGCCCTGACCAGGTTATGATTAGTGACCCTGACCAGGTTATGGCAAAGGTAATGACAAGTTGTATTCACGTGCGCAAGATTTTGAAAATAGACAGATTCATGGGACCAGCACTGTTGCTAACTAGCAAAGCTGCTCCCTTTGTTTAGAATTCTTCCGCATTTATGCAAAAAGTTAAAAGGTATTAGAATCCTCTTGTCCTTACCTAGGTGTCTTCAACCTCTGTCCCTTAACCACTGCCTGTTACTGAGGCAACCACAAGGCCTTGACTAGGTGCCACAGTCTCACTGATATGGGCACACCGGGATCCAGAAGTGTGTGTGTGTGTTATTGGTTTACATGACAAGATTATATTATTTGATTGCTTAGTAGGCATAGCCCTGACACCGCCTAATAAAATATGCCTTTGTGGCCATTGGTAATTTGATTGAAATTGAGATTGCATCTTGTTTGCTGGAGCCATTTATGTTGCATGTGTGTAACTGTGACCTCAGTCCTGGACTAAAAGCAAGGTTTTGTGTGCATGTGCGTTTTGGTTTCCCATGCACAGATGTGATGTTTATGTTATAGCTTTTCTGGGGCATGGACTGGATTAATGACAGGTAGGCAGATACATGACTGAGTAGAGCTTTAATACTCCTACTCTTCATTTAGCCTTCCATGTTTCTCTGCCTCTACCTCAGTTTTCCTGCCTCTATTTGCCTCTACCGCGGGTCCTCTGCTGCTACATCTGACTCCCAGTGTCCCACTCAGGTTAAGAAGGTGGCAAGTAGCCTATGTAGCCTAGCGGTTAAGAGCGTTGGGCCAGTAACCGTACGGTTGCTGGTTCGAATTCCCAAGCCGACTAGGTGAAAAATCTGTAA